CAGTCACGCCGCCGGCTGAGCGCAGGAAGCGGAAGCTTGTGGAGTTAGAGGATCCCGAGATAGCTTCGCGCAAAAAGGCCAAAGCGAGCCACGAGGCTATAAACAGACGGAATGCTAAGATCAAGAAGTCTCTGGATCATCACCACTCGTACGCCGATCAGGATCGCTTCCCAGAGGAAGGAGTTACCTTTTTCGACTATGACGTTTACAGCATACCCCTCCTATGCTCTCATACGATTGAACATCAGTACCCATTGGAGCTTATGGATGAGCCTTCGGACAGGTTGAAACGATCATTCACTGATGACAACGAGGTTCATGTTTTTGGTCGTAGGATGCTTGTTCTGCGGCAGGAAGCGCTTCGCCTATCCAGGAAGAAGTTTTGGACATCCGACGACCTTGGTCGCAAAGATGCCTCGAAGGTCGAGCCCACTAGGGATATCGGCGACTGTGATCTCTATCTTTACAATGGGAAGGTTCACGTCGCTACAGAGCGAGGACTTCTTCTAGCAGCAGAGTACCTCAAGCTCATCGGGGTTCCAGACACGCAGCCAGTGCGTTTCCACGGGTACAAACCCGCTTGGATGAGCCAAGTCACGCCCAAGCCGGACCACAGACGTGTCTTGGAATCATGGCATCCTAGTGCAACCTTGAAAGAAGGCGGTTGCATCTCGATCACGCACAGCTCCACCGTAGTAGTATACGAGCACGGCGTTTTCGACATCGACCACAACACCGGTGCGGAGACCCGAATGGCCTACGGTGCTCGAGAGGATGATGGCGTTGTTGGTTGGTTCGACTATTCGAAAACATGTCGTATAGACTGGCTCAAAGACCCAGAAGAGACAACTACAACCACACACGACCCTACCATCGTTGACTGGTCAACATTTGACTATAGTCCTCTCGCTGCTCGAGCTGCAGCTCAACAAGCGGCGCAGCGTAAGTTGACGGCTGCAACGCGGGGAATGGCAAAAGTTTATGCTTCCACGGCACCACTCCCGCCGATCACACCAACATTGGCATCTCCCGCGGGAAGAGCAGCGACACCTGGCAGCAATGGCGAGCATTATCTGTCTGAACTTGCGCTTGCAGCGGAAAGCTCGTTACAGTCTTTGATGCATGCTGAGTCTCCAGGTCCTCGTGTCTCGCAAAAAGAGGGAGAATCGCCACCGTCGAAGGTCAAGGATGGACGTATTTCGCGTCATGACAGTCCCAACTCCCAAGTTGGACAGATTGCCAATAAGGGCAGCAGCGATGTCACTGGCGAAGACGATGTATCTCAAGGAACCATCGATGCCACGTTATCTACACAAGTCGCAAACGTTGGGTCTGTCGTGACACAAGAGACGGCGATGGATCCGTCCTTGAGTCCTCACCAGGCCTCACCAGGTCGTGACGAACCTGGAGGATACCAAGGATCTCCACATGAGCCTACAGTACCGGTTACTAAGGCAGTGCGACCGTGCAAGACTCCGTCTACAATATCTCAACGCTACGATGTTGAGGTAGATTGGGACGATACCGACATCCACGAGGACGATGAAGCTCAAAACCAAAGCCCAAATCAAAACAAAGAGAGCGAAGAGCTTTGAGTTGGGAGCAAAAGTATCCTGAGCCTTACTGCAATCATACAGTCTACAGGAGTGAGATGGTCATAGGCTCTTGCAAGAACATTGAGCAGAAAGAAAGAGACGGAGACTATACCAGTCAGTGCGACACCGCTAACCTGGGTGTCGTCATTGATGGCGAGGTATAGGACGGATTCAGTACGATTGGCCTTCTGGAGTAAGTAGAGGAGCAGCTCGCTGTCTTCGTCTGCACAGCATGGAGCCATCGACCAAGACGCTGGCATTGGTCACGAACACCAAGCATACGGCGCGATCTTGCTACGCAGAATCCCAACACATGGGGATCATGCCACCTTAATGTACCACGGAAGGCTCTGCCAGCATGGCCAACGCTCAGGTCTCTTCCTTCGCGATACGTACGCGACGATGCTGAGACCTTCTTTGCCTGAGAGGGAAGAAAACCTTACCAAAAAAAGATAAAAGCAGAAAAACGCCAAATCAAACATGAGAGACAAAACCAAGCGCCAAAGTTGCACACCTCTAGTCTCTCAGCGTACCCACCACTTGTCTTGTCTAGCGGATGAATGTCAAGTTCTTGAGGCAGGTCAAACATGACCGAGAGCCCCAAGACAGGCATGCGTCGCAAGCGCATCATCACAGTCAAGTCGCCATGCACCCCCGATGTTACACGGCGCATCAAGTATTCACGTGCGAGCGGCCCATCCACGATACCCATTTGCTGGTCTCAGGCGCAACTTTGAGAGCTTTCCGAAAACAAGGAGCGAAGAGCGAAGATTGTCGGGGAGCATGAGTCCATTTGCATCAATACGAATTTCCAACCGGGCACTGCGCGGGTCGCACATGTGCTCGTAATACATAGCTTTTGGTCTCTGATATTTTGTATAGTTCCATCATCATAGATAATCGAAAAAAAAGTTGTAAATTTCGTGGTTTGGGCGGCTTAATCTGCCAACGAACTGATGTGATACGTGACCATCTCACAGCGTATTGGTAGACTTCAAAGTTCTCCCACCATCTAGCTTCCTCACATGCGTTCCTGTTCCCGTTCCAGAAGCAGTAGGGTTCATCGGCAGTGGCTTTCTCTTTTCAACAACGTTGGCCTTCACACTCTCGGTCTTCTCTTCTTCGAGCTTATTTGCTAGCGCTGACCCGCTACTAACAGATAGTCGCAACTTTTTCTTCTTGTTGTTGTGCGCGCGGAACCTGATGAGTCAGTATGTAAGTGCACAATGCGAGAGTTGGATCAATACCAGAAGATAAGGAGCGAGAGAATAAGTAGACCGCCCACGGAGCCGCCTATTGCTGTACCGACTGTATAGCCTGTTCTGATATCAGTATCCAGAGAGTGTCTTCCAGATGCCTCTGCATAATGTAAATACCTGTGGAGAAGCCTGAAGGTTTGCCCGAAGTAGGTGGTAGGGCACTAGTCGGGTTTGGCTGAGATGGAGATTCTGTCGGAACTGCTGTCGGAGCTGGGGATGGATTTGCTGAAGTAAATCCTGTAGGCACGGGAGGTGACGATGATGATGATGTTGTTGTTGTTGTGGATGGCCGCGTTATGGTAACGAATACCGATTGTTGGCCATTGAATTGAGAGCTTAGTCCCGCAAACACACTTGAGTCGAATGCAGATGAAGAAGAGGCGACGAGGGTAGTATCAAGCTGTAGAGTAAGTTTTAGTCTTGCTGATGTAAAATTGGGTTTCTTACAAATTGCGCGCTTGTCATTGTGATGAAATTGAGAAGGAGCAAGTATGAAAGTAACGCTTCCATCTTCGACAGCAAGAAGGAAGAGATAACCATCTGGAACCCAACCTTGAGAAAACACCTGATCTATGTATGTAGCTCTTTTCATGTGTGTGGGTCTCAGCCGCAACGAGGCGTCGGTCTAGAAACTCCACAAGTTTGGGGGCCAAGCTTATCGCGCGAGGGGGAAGTTCAGCTGAGCGATAAGGCAGACTTCAGCCGCATCACGGCTGGCAACCTCTCTCAATAAATATATCGAACGTTTCGATCCCCTCTTTCTTACTCTTTGATACGTACCGATTTCGACAATGGACCCATCTGGTTGTCTCGCCCTTTCCACACGAACGGACTTTACAGCGTACATCGACCTGCTCCGCAACGCCACAGGCGGGGATTTCAGCCTGGTGAAGGATTGCAAAACTAATGTATGCGGAGCATTATGGGGCTCAGGGAATCCAGACATCAGTGGCATCGGCATGGCAATTGGATATATCCTTGAGAGCTTCATATGCGCATGTCTCGTAGCGACATCGCTATGGTTTGAACGAAGCCCAAAAGGCCACCCAACCATTGGGAGGCTTTTGGTTGCGAACGCCACAAGAACCTTTTTCGATAACGCGATCTTCTTTACCTTCGCGATTCAAACTGCTAGCATTGTTACGCTGTCTGGGGTTGACTTTGGGGTCAACGCTGTTGGAATGGGTGGCTTTACGGTTGAGATTGCTTGGCTGGTGTCTTCGCTCACGCTTCTGCCTCTTCTTCCAATGGTATTGCGACCGGAGATGTTCTTGGAAGGCGGCGCAACAGATGCTGCTAGAAGACGGTCGTCTAGTGATACGACCGTTCCAGAAGACGGATACGAAGAGGCAGGAAGCGGCACTGATGGACACCCCGGGCCTCTCTCCGATGCTCGTAGAGGACAACGTTTTATCTTGTTTGTGATATGCTGGGCTATGGGGTTTTGCCCTTTCTTCTCTCGCATGGGTGGAACCTTTGGTGAGTAGCTACACTTTGTCAAAGGAACACTGCCTGACCAATGCAGGCGCAAGCCGGATCGGGAATTCGCCAAACACCGCGATAACGTTCGAAGAATGGAGTATAATCGCAGGCGTCTGTTTTGAAGGCGTTAGCACCATCAGCTCACATGAACGCATTCTCACTACGGCGTTCGGCATTCTCAGCTATCTGCTGTTGTCCATTGTGGTCATCTCGAAAATCCTTTCTTCCGCTTTGCAGGACATGGATCATAAACAGAACTGGTTGACAAAGTGCTGTTCTGCGTTTGATGGGGGCATCATCGGGTGGTATACAAGACTGGGAATTGACGTTGTCGTCGTCACCGCACTTGTTGTACAATTCTGGGCGTTCTTTCGGCTACGACAACTGCAAAGTGTCATGATCCGAGCAGCTGGTGGGAGCTTCCCGGACGGGCAGTGGACTTTTGGTCAGATTGTCGCCACCGTTGTTTTTGTTCCCGTCGCTGCCGAGGTCATGTTTGTATGGAAGAGGCGTTCACTGTATCTTGATAGAAGCATGTAGATAAAACATTGGAGAAGACAAGGTATCAAGCTGACAGTGATATATGTGACGAAAGCGATGAGAATAGGGTCTTAATAAGAACTACGACATACTGGAAGTAGCCTCTAGTACTACGAATTAATCATCAGTTACCCTCCCCCGGACCATTGTCTTCGTAGTCCTTCTGATGTGCCAGTCGGTTTGTCTCTTCTTCGTAGTAGTCATCTGCGCTAATCACATCCGTCGTGTTTCTCCGAATAAACTTCTTGTATTTTCCAATGTTGAGAGGAAACCCGTTATGAGCCGCAGCTGTGCTACCGTTCTTGCGGACTCCGGACCAATGCTTTATACTATGACCGATGACAGGCAGCTCAGGGGGGAGAAGAAATGTATCTTTGTGATAGGGTTTTGCACGGCCCGCGGGACGGGGCCAGTGAGTGAGGTACTTTCTCTCCGAGTTCTTGAAGTCGAATGGTTCTGGTGCTGGTGTTGGTGGTTCTTCTCCCGACTGATTATCAGCATCTTGCGCTTCTTCTGGCGGTTGTTCGCCGGGCTTATCCGTATCATCCGATGATTCAGTATCGCTTTCATATGGAGGTCTGACATTTCTGCGATCTTGCAAGGTCCTGCGAGGATACGTTCCGATGAAATGACAAAGAACTGGGTCAAGGACAGCAACACCCCTGGAGTAAAAGCGCCCGACTGTATGCTCTAGAGTGGCGAGATGACACGCATTGAGTTTGGTTTTGTACATCTGCATGACGATTTTGTCGATGAGTGGCTACAACGTTGGGTGTATGGTCAGTCTATGTCTTGCAAACAGGCATGCATCGGGGGAGTTGTTTCTTACCAGTTGCACGGATTTGGGCAGGCCTAGCTGCAGCATAGCGTTGTAGAGATGAATTTTGTCGTCAAGTGCAACTGGAATTCCCATAGCGACAGCACCGTCAGGTCCTGTTGGCTGGCGTGCGCGCCTCGTCTCCTTGGGTGATCTTGCATCGTCCTCTTTGTCTAATTCATCTCCTTTGCGATTGATCTGTTTTTGCATTTTTTGTAGCCATGGAATGACGTATTCGTTGATTTCCTCCGGTCGTATGAACGCCATTTGATCATCAGGTTGTTCGGCGAGTCTTTTTCCACTAACGCAAAAATGATAGTTGATGTCGAAGTCCTGAGTCGATAACTCGCCCAGAGCAGCATGATGTTGTCTTGGATAACGCACTGGCAGATGAAGCGTCTTGGCTCCCGGATTGTATGTGAAGTGATCATCAGCGAAGGTCGAACACTTCCTCAAAGTAGCGCGATCAACAGTCGTTGGAATAGTGTATGAGCTTTTCCGCCTGAACTTTTTGATGGTTTCCCAATATCCCTCCCTCTCGCAATAGAGCGTTCTATACTCTTGCTTGTCGATAATGATTTCAACGTTATCAGTAGAAGCGTCCGCATTCTTTTGATTGCAAATATCAATCTGTTCAATGTATCGATAATGATTTGCCAGATTCCGTGCTTCATCGTCTAAGTATTGATCGTGTTGTTCAACAACTCTTCCATTCGCATGATAAAGAACCATGGTGTCGTCTGGGTATTCGTCGGAGAAGTTGATGCTTGAATTGGTGGCTCAGAGGATGTGATGGTGATCTTCAGCAGGACTCGAGAACTCCAAGGTTCGCTGGCAGAAGATACCAATTCGATACCGCAGACTCTTTGTTAATATGGAACTCTCTGACAAAGGCGAAAACTTCCGAAGGCATCGTAACGAGGCATCACTTTCTTTGAGCGCGCCGTGTTCGGCACAAAGCGCGTACACCAACTCAGCCATGCGGAGTTTAGTACTCCAATCGACCGCCATATGATACCGGATACGGCATCATGTAACTTTAGACGCGTGTTTGTTCGTTGGAAATGTTGATGCAAATGTGCGTAGGTGTGAGGATTGTTGTTTAGGAGAGATACATTGAAGCGCTACATAAAAGATTATACCTCGGTTGCGCCGGATACAGCTAGATCAGAAGACCCTCGATCAATGAACCTTGGGGACCATGCTGCAACATAGCGCTGCGAATTCATATTGGACTAATGGTGTTGAATAGTCGCATCTGCGTAGTGTCCAGTCTTCTCACCGTCGACTACCCTCTACACATTCATGTTAACTCATCAACGTCCTCCACCATCCTACTTCCCCCCACCACCACAAGCCCTCTCCAGCGTCAAAAACGCAAAATGCCCCCCAACAACCGGTCTCGCAAAGAACCACGGCCCAGGAAACCCACCATCCCCCTCCGTAACATAAAGATCCGTAAAGGGCCGATCCGTAACCGTCTCATTCAACCAAAGCGCCACCCGATCAAGAATCTCAGAGCGCACCTTCTTATTCGCAACGGCAGCAGCTTCAAACTCCCAATCGGACTTTGTGTAAAGATGACGAGAGTCCAGGGGAAGGCCGTATTTCTGCATCACGGTGGAGTACCAGTCACTCTGGAGGTTGTAGATTTTGTCGGGGATGAAGTCTTCGGTGATGGGTGAGCGGCTGGAGGAGGAGTGTTTGGAGGGTGACAAGGGTCGCTGCGCTTCATCGTTTCCAGATGCGTAATCTGGTTGTTCGGATAGGGAAGACGAGTTTGTGATGGTGGGGTGGAAGCAGAGTACGGCATCGGCGTAAAGCGAGTATAGAGTGGTCCAGCTGCCGTACCAATCGTAAGCGAGTTTGGCATGTGTGCCATCGCGCGACATGCCGTAGTCTTGCCACTTCTTGATGTACGTCTCTGAGATGTTGCGGTAGTGTTTTGCGTCGCCGGGTCGATCCATGAGGTCAGCAATTTCACTGAAGGCTTTGATGCCGACAATGCCCTTCAGGGCAAGATTGGTTTGAAGCGGCAGCCAGCCAGCGAAGTCATCAGTGCAAACTACAACGTCTGTTAGCTTGTGTTTCGAACAACGGCGGGCCAATACTTACGCTGGTTGTGAGGCTCAAGAGCGTCTTCGACAAGATAGCCAGTCCATTGCTTCCACAGGTCATAGCTGCCTTCCAGCCACTTCTTCGCTTGGTCAATGCCTTTGGTGCTTCCGCCCCAAGTCTCATCGATGTAGTCAACTCCGCCGTGCAGTCCGACGCCGTTCAGAGAGAATGCGTTGGTTGCATCAATACTACGGTCTGCGTCGTTGCCGATAGTTGACCAGATAGACTGAGCTTGTGCGTCGGAGTTGTAGCTTAACGAGTTGACCAGTGCCAGACCCATGATCAGCATATCGCCACACTCCTCAACAGGCATGTACTCGTCTCGTCCATCGGCATGTCCCGTCAAATTAGGGAAGTGTGCGCCAAGGTCATGCATGGAGTACTTGTTGGGATACTGGCCGGACAGCTGGTGTTCCAGAAGTGGCTCCAACAGGTATGCCAACCACCTAGGCTGCGTATACAGGAAGAACGGAAAGGCTGGGAAGATGACATCGACTGTTTGACTGTTGCCGTTGGAGGAGATCTCTTTTAGGAAGAGCAATGGATTGTCTTTGGTTCCGGAGAAGCTCGTGGCACCCATGACTTGTCGTGCAGACAAGGCAACGATGTCCACGTAGTTCGTGGAGCCAGATTGGTAGGCATCGATGCGCAGCTGTTCCGAATAGTTGCCAGCGAGGCTCTTTGCCATTGCGAAATCGCCGTAGTGGAATTGAATGAGCTTGTCATCTTGGGGGAACCAGGACTTCCACAACGGCCGCATGAACGTGAGACCGCGAGCAGATGCATATTGTGTGACCGGATCTTGGATGTGGGTTATCGTAAACAGTACGCTGTCACTTTTGCTGCTGGATTTGGAGCTGGTAGTGGACGAGTTTGCCAGCTTGAAAGCTTTCGCAAACGCAAACACGGGCTCTTCATCCATGACGGCGCGAAAGTTCCCATCGACCTCGTTCTGCAACGTCCCGGTTCGAGCAAATCGCTGGCGTAAGAGCGCGGATGTGCCCGATTCATGGCGCGCGTCGACTGGCCCAGTAAAGTGCAGCTGACCCCACTCGGGCTGATCGTTCGTCTCGGTGAAGAGCTGCTCAACCTGTCGCTTGACTTGCCACGTCTTCAGCTTATCGTTCAGACCCGGCGCGACATGCTGGAACAAGCCCCATTCTATCAGGCTCTCCCTCTTGCCGCTGACCCATTGTCCGTTCACGTCCACGTATATGTTGACATCGAACGTTCCTTCTACGTGTATAGACAGGTATGCTGCCGGTATGGTCTGGCGCAACGTCGAGGTCGGTGTAATGGGTGATAGGAATGACAAGGTGATCTCGACGTCTTTCGCTGAGCGGAGTGCATCGGGTGCGGGTATAGAGTACGTAAGGTTGGTCGTCGACGCGTCGTATTTAGCACCTCGGTATATGGGGTATGCTATCGCGTAACTAGTACGGACGGGGGTTAGCAATGGCTGCGCTCCTAGAGATTAGAGTAGACCTACTCCTTGTCCTTTTGCTCCAGAGAATCATGAGGTCGGCCGAGTAAAGGGTAGACTTCGTTGGTGTCAGGGACCGACGCCATGACACTGAAGCCAACCTCAGATCCAGTCCAGAACATGGGCCATTTGCTCCATGGCTCTTCCCTTGCGTTTTGCAGCCATGTGCTCAGATATGGGTTCCGCACGATCAACGGAAGGACGGGTGGTTGGAGAGTCGACGCATCTACCACACTTGCTAGGAGCGCCGCAGCTGCGACAGTAAAGGGCCGCATGGTGTAGTTCAGGGACTATCGCCGCAAGATCGATACCAAAAGAATATGCTCGACGCTATAATGACGAAACCATGAGTTATGGGCTATTGTATACGCAAAGAAGCATGAAGCACGCAACAGTGTTGGAGCTGTCAGCTGGGATGGAAGCTCGAGGTAGCTGCAGTTTGCGGGGTTGTGGAGGAGCGAATCACGGCGTGGTGCCTTGCATCATCGTGCCGATCGGCAATCGTCCCACGTTTCATCTTACGCGTCCTGACCTCATGACATCTCAAATGTTGATGGAGTAGCGTACAGCAGCATCAGGAGCTCTATCGACCTCTCAGCCTCATCCTTTGCTCTAATCTCGCAATGTCAACGTGCCCGCTTCAGAGTACTTGCAACCACACTGCCCACCTCGGCTCTACCACGCCCCCAACATCACAGCAACCTCTGCGCATCTTCCGTAGCGTCTGTTCGCAGCGATCCATCTGGCGTCTGTGATCCTCGACGTTTCCAAGCAGATGCAATCACGCTCATCAATGCAGAAGCCGACCGACCTTGCTCTCTGCGCTTGAACGGCGGCGGAGTGGATATGCCGTCCCGAACCGATTTGACGGGGCTGGGAGTGCGCACAGTCCAGTCGTCTAGTGGATACGCAGGATGCGGGTGGTATGATGTGGATGTCTCGAAGTCGTTCTTGATGGGAAGCGTAGGAAGAGGCCGTGAAGCTGGTTCTGGCGGCCCAAGTCTGATAGACGGTGGTATCGAGAGCCGGTAGAACGGGGTTGGTGTGCGAACAATGCCATGGCGCTGTTGTGCATTCTCGCCTACATGCTCAACTGGCAGATCTGCCTTCGGGCCTGGTGCACCGCGTGGGATGTAGGCGCGTGGCTGCTCTGTATCGCTCACCAGCCGTAGTGATGCTCTGTGGGTAGAGGGTGTTCGCCTCCCCGCGAATGTGGATCGAGTAGGGCTTGACGAACTCCTAGTCTGCCCTCGTATGCCTGTAGCACTCGCGGCTCGTCCATCAAAATTCTCTTTGCAGTCCTGAAAGACGTCTTCCGAATCCCTGCTCATGGCGCTAGAGGCCCTTATGCCCTCGATGGCTTCATCGGTACCACCGCCTTCGTTTGGCTCTATCACAGGGAGGTCGTTCTCTTCGCCAGCAACACCACGATTTTGATCAAGCAGCCCCAAATCGCGCAGTTGATCCCAGCTGCGGCAGTAGTATCGGAATGTCGCAAAAGGCTGATCGACAGGGTCGATGAGGGCGAATTTGTAAAAGCGCTTCGGATGCTGTGGTCCCGCAGGCCCAGCGTTGACAAGGCTACCCAGGTTAGCACAGTAAGTGCATGTCACGTTGAGCGCTTACCCTATCCCAGTCTCAGTCTTTGCGTGCTCCGTTTGCTTGTACTCTTCTGCCTGTCGTTCGACTCGCTTTCGTCCGTGTGCACGATGTACTCGTATCTCGACGCGCGCGGTCTCGTCGAATGCATTTACGTCATCTTTTGTTGTAAAGCAGAGCACTCGCTTCTCGAACTTTTTCCTGTCACCGCCATCGCCGGGGCTCTCAAATAGACCGAACATAGTCTTGCCCTGCCACTCCTCGTCCTTGCCCGTCGACCAGCTCACGACATGCGCGCCGTTGATGTACAACTTGAACAGGAAGTAGTGCCCTTCGGGGACTGGCGGCGACACAGCATATTCGATCCAGAAGGTGCTGCCTGGTAGAGCTGGAACGTAGACGCTGCAAGTCGACGTCTTTTCATCGACGGGTTCCGGAGTGAAGCTAGAGTTACCGCGAGGAGCTGGGCGATATTCAGGCAGTTTTTCGATATCGAACTGGGAATGCAGTCCGACGTCGATGCTACGACAATGCATTATGGCGGTGGTGGTGACGTGACCGGTCTTGGTGATTGCGCGGGTAGTCCAACAGTACAGGAAGCAGGTGCGGTTGCCTCAGATGGTGAAGTACACGACTGGCCGACTAGCGCGACTGCTCCATCCCAACCTTGGAACTCAACAAGTCGGATTCACGTATGCTATGCATTTCTTCATTGTGTTATTCTCGCGACATGTTAAGAACACGCAATTGTATATCGGTTCGGATAGTTACAGTATGAAGAAGTGAAGTTTCTCCATTATTCGAATTGAAGCAGTGTTACTCTTTGGTGCTTGTGACATCAGCGGTCTTGCGAGTTGACAACATCCCAGTCAACAGCATTGTTTCACGGTGAGCGACGCTATATTCTGGCCAGCTGTGAATTTTGGAAGTGGCGCCGCTACAAAGCAACTCGTCCCGGTCCGACAAGTACTTACTCGGTCTTGCCGACAACGCGAACCTGTCACTCCCCATGTCCCTGCAGCATCGCTGGTGATACGAAGGGCGATACCTATGCACGAAGATCGAGCGGTTCCTTCACCAGAGTAAAGGTGGTTGCAACCTCACTACTTAGGCAGTTCTCACGTGATGGTTCATTCACTGCTCTTCCAGCACAGGCCCAGGGAAACACCCCTCACTATATAAGCCTTAGCCATGCTCTTATTCTCTCTTCTCCCCACCTAGCCTATTCGTCGCCAACTCAACCGCGTTTGAAGTAAGTCAACCCCTCACTTCCTCATACATGATCCTGCAAGGGCTTTACAGGCTTAGCCCGTGGACCTATCTCTCCACCACACTGCTATCATATCGCTAGACCTTTTACTTACAGCAGTTAGGACAAGCTTGGATTAAGAAGGATCTGTAGCCATGACAACGATGACCAATCCAGGGCGCATGCCTCCGTCTAAGACGAACCAGCTTACGCCAAAGCAACTCGCCGAGTAAGTTTATCCTGAAGACCTCCTCGTTCATATGTTCGAAGTATGCTAACTATTTTAGCTTCAGGAAAGGCCCAAAGGCAAACATCGTCATCGGTCCCGACGACAACCGCTACATCGGTCTTGAGAGTGCATCCGTGAATCTACTAGCGCACTTCTCCCCCGTAGCCCGGAAGAAGCTCATCGAAGAACGAGCCACAGTCTTGACCATTCCTGACGGCTCGAAGAACGCCATCCGTTGGATCTACAAGTACATGCAGGCTGGCGAGCGTGATCCCATGGACACGGACACGTTCGAGGCACTGAACTCGGATGCCTTGATCACCATGTACAAACACTGCGAGCTTCTTGAATACGATTCCTTGAAGAAACGTATTTTCAATCGCCTGAAGAGCAAGTTTTATCACAGCCTTCCAACTATCGACGAGATCAAGCAATACCAGAATGCGATCCCAGCGCTCTACGACTGCGTGATCCGCTGCATTGTCGATGAGATGGCGAGGCCGTGGACTTGCGACTACGAGCCGTATCAAGAGCTTGCCAACACGAATGAGGCCTTCGGCAAGGCGCTGGACGGTGCTTTGCAGAAATACATCGCCTCACGTGTCAAGGTCAGCGAAGATTACTATCGCACTACGAAGGATCGCCGTGTGATCTGGGCCATTAACTACATCGAGGACATCCGCGCCGGTCGTCGTCCCTACATCAAGTTCGCCGACAGGTCTTCGAATATGTTGTCCTGGAAGCCTCAGCAGAAGGGCAAGGGCGCATCAGGTCTATTCAATAATGTTAAGGCTGATGCGAACGGCATAGCAGGAAACATTCCTGCTCTTGCAGCCAAGCAAGATAAGAAGTACGTCAGCAAAACCTACACACCGTTCACCTGCCACAAGTGCGGTGATGAGGGTCATATAGCCCGTAACTGCACCACGGCGACTGCCGCTGAGTCCGTCACCGGCACTGCATTTACATACAAGAAGCCCTCGCAGCGTCTAGGTCCAATCTGCTACACCTGCAAAGGGACCGGCCACCTTTCCCGCAACTGCCCAGCAGAGCAGTCGGCCGCCAAACCCGCGATCATCACCGGTCTTCTCTCCAAAGCAACAGACAAGCGCCCACAACCCGTCTGCTACGAATGCGGCGAGGAAGGCCATATCGCGCGCAACTGTCCGGAGGAGAAGCCGCAATCCGAGCGGAGCAAGGCAAAGTCTCAGCAGCCGTTCATTTGCTACAACTGTGGCGGCGAAGGCCATATGGCGCGCGAGTGCACGGAAGACGTGCCAAGCAGCGAACTCGCTGACCTCTCCTTTTCCGCTTTCCCGGCCTTGCCTCCCACTAAAACCTCTACAAGCGGTGGAAAGATGGTCAATGGATTGCGTCCTGCTCTCGGTCCTGCTCGTGCAGCTGCTGCCGCTGACCTTGGTGTCAATCAGGCAAACGCTATCGACGAGTCGGAAGAAGGAGAGGGCTCAAATTCACCTGATCATGAGGTTCGTTAGGGCGGGAAGACGCGGACTGTTTTCATCGTCTAGATTGCTGAATGGGATGAGGAGTGAATTTGAGAGGATGCGTCCAGGAAATCTGATCACAAGCTGAATGGGCGGAGCGACATAGTCATGCAACATATCATCCTTTGATGGGGGTCAATGAGGTCGTTTGAAGACCGAGCTATCTATAGATTATTAGATATATACAAAGCTTTTTAGCAGAGCCTTCCAAACATGGTCTAGGGTTTGAGATTGCTAATTTCTCGTGAAGATGCTCAGTTTCTGCCGTGTCGTTGGCGCCGGACGTACGTTCGACTACTTGTTTCAGGTGACGAGTTGTGGTAAACCTAATCATCGTTTGATTTCTATTCCTTGTCTCCACCAGGCTTACCATTCTTCTCTAGATGGTCCTTGATGCTGAACATACCCGTCCCCCGCTCAAGCGGTTTAGCTTGAGTGGGACTAGGTTTCCAACCAATCATGTAGATCAATCTGAAAGTGGCCGGAAGCGTGCCATCTTCGTTGCCATGAAGTTCCTTGTATATAGCTTCAGCGGCCAATAGTACGTCTCTCTGGATTGGCCCCTTCTCTCGTGCAAGCACAGCGTTGGACTCGCCCATGGCTTGCAGGTCCTTCATCAACGAGAAGGTATCGGGATAGTCGACTACGATATCATCCACGTCCACGGTGAGGAGATTGAAGCCGGCTTTTTGA